GAAAGAGTGGAGGAGATACTTTTTCTCTATCAAACTACTGGTAATTAAGAAGGAAGCTTTATTTCAGTAAAGCTACTGGAAGAGGTTTATGGTACCACGTATTGCTCAATTGTCCTCAGGTCGTTACTGCCCACTATAGGTAAACACTGAGTATAGCCGACTGCTGAGACATGTCAGGCAGAGAGATGTTTTAAAACATATATTTTGAAATACTTGGGGTTTTTTTTTACTAGAAAATGTAAAGCTGGCAGACAGCAGATGCAATCAGCTATGGATGTAAACATTAAAACTGAGATCTGTTTGGTTACCTCCCTAGCCAATTTCCATTCCTCTGAACAGGCATGAAGTTGCATTGGTTTTGCTGCACTGGGATTTTCTAAAGCTTTCATGAATGCATTTGTTAATGCAAATGGTTTCTCAGGCTATTGATTACAGGGGTAAGGCCTATATGTGTGTTTATGCTAAAGATATGAGCTCACTGGAGAAGGTTTAGTCTTCCATCTTACAGAGCCCTTGTGCTGACATTTTAATGTGGTTTGGGTGCAGTTCCTGCTGCCCTGTAAAGGTCTTTCCTCGATTCATTGATTGCCAAGTAAGGTTTTGACACATGTACAGATGTCTATATTCTTTGCAGTGCATAGAATATATGCAGAGTATTTGCCACTTGAAGCATTTTATGATGTCAAAGCTAGTTAGGTAACAGCCTGCTGCAAAGAAAATTTAAAGTACTGTTGGGAGATGCCAAAATATATGTGGATTATATGTAGGTTAAGTAGAAGATCGAGTGAGGATATGTGTCGAATTTCAGCTGGTTAAAGAAAACGAAGGGTTTTCAGAGCACAAAGAGTAAGGAAGTACCTGAGGCTCAGACAGCAGCTTTGCAGAGCAGCTTCAGGTTCCCTGTTGTTGATTATCCCTTTGACAAATATGTGTTAACACACTGTCATTTATCTTATCAAAATATCAGCAGGGAGAGGTGCATCACCACCAGGGAGTTCTGCTGCTGCAGCAATCAGCCCCATTCGGACAGCTATTTTATAATCTTTACAGCTTTACCATTTTTATTCATAATCAGCTGTTGACAACAAACCCGTTAAGTGATGATGTGAGTGCTTTTGCAGCAGCAGCAGCCACCCTCCTCTGCTGTGCTGCTTTTCTGCAAGCCGAGGCACTCCCCTGCCGGGCAGGCAGAAATCTTTGCTGCAGCTGGCTGAGCCGGAGCGTGATGAATTACTGCAGCGATGTGTCAGTGGGGACAGCAGAACTGAGTCACCGTGTGCCCGCGCAAAGTCCCCCCCCTCCTGTTCCCGCACAGAGCATGGGCACCACAGTAAAGACTTGCACTGTCGCCTCCTGTTGAGATCAAATTAAAGCTTGCATAGATATGAGTTATGGGATTTACCAAAAAGGCAGATTTATAGCAGGCATACTGTGCTGCCAGTGCTGCCGTCACGTACGTGAGCAGTGGCTGGATATGGATGCTTCTGTTCCCATAGGCTTTTGGCACAGAAGCTATTCGATCTGCTAAACGTGTTGATGGTAGAGCCGATGCTGTGTATTAGGTGTAAGGCTTGGATGCTGCTTAAAAGCTGCTTCAAAGCCACAAGTCAGCAGAGAATTGGGTTGCTAGGATTTAGCCTTACAGTAGTACAGTGGAATTAGGGGAACCTTCCCTGCCAAGTTGCGTTTTTCGTCCTGGAAGTGGTAAAAACTAGCACACAGATGTTGCACCGTAGCACGTATACTTCACCCCTTGACACCAGGAGCGGGGAGCCTGTTCTGCAGTCTGCTGAAATAAATGCAACAAGCTTTATACCAAGCCCTAGGTAAAGGTGTGAGTCATACCTGGTGCTACCCCCAAGTCGCAGGAAGAATCTCATCCAGGCTGAATTAAAAAAAAAAAGAAATGGAAATGCTATCATTCCTCCCCTCCTGATCCCCTGCCGAGGCATATCCAGCGCACAGCCCGTGTTCCTGAGAACAATCTGTTCTTGCAGCTCCCAAACACAAGAGGAGCACCCAGGGCTGGGCTGCTGCCAGGACTGATAGGATGCCTGGAACATGTGATCCCCATGGGAAAACAGCTCTCTGCAGGGTTACAAGGCAACTGGCTGCCTCCCTCCTTGTCTCTCCCACACACCTGATTGTTTTGCAGCATTCACAAAGCATATTTGTGCTCAAATGTCTCTGCACATGAAGGCTTACTGTTGTTCTGCCTTACTTTTCATTCTCCCAGGCAAGCTTTTACTAACTTATGATAAGGGAGACACAAGATGGCTGCTGTTACTGTTACAAGCCCATGCATCTGAAAGAGGGAAGGAGGTTCTTTGGGTTTTTTGTTTTTTGTTTTTTTTTTTTTAAATTGGTCTCAGATTAAAATTCAACATTTAAAAATTGAGTCTGAAGCATCCACAGTAAGAACCCAAAGTGGAAAAAGTTAGCTTTTAAAGCTTCATTCAAAGCTTCAATGATGAGAATGCAGGAATGATTGAAGCTTTTGGATCCTTGCATTATACCATAGTCAAAAATGATGTAAAGGGGCTTTTTACACTCATCTCTGCTGCAGATTAGGTGTGTACATTGAAGGGGTACAATGCTGAGGTTTCTGGAGGGAGCTGACAGTGAAATAATGCTTCTGATTTACTAGAATCCCAGTGAAACTTTTAGGCATTTAAGCTTGTTTAGCATAATTTTCAGTATGGTTTCCTTTCATGCATCGATCTTCAAAGATACCATCCCTAGCTGTCTACCTCCTCTCAGTTCCCAAAGTTGTATGAATCCTCTGACTCTAGTGGCTTCAGCTCACTCTTTTTTAGCTCATTGATTTTGGAAGCTTGCCTCTCCAAGGTATTGCACTTAATAACCAAAAGGAGAAGGGAAGGGCCAAGTTAAAGGTGTGTGGTGGTAGAATACGGAGCTTTGGGTGTTGTGTTTGGGTTTGTTCCTGAGAAAACAGTTCTTTGAGGGGCCAAACCGGTAATCAGAATTTCTGAATAAAGTGTGCAATGAAGCATTCACATGTTGCATGTATATGATGTTGCACTTGTTTGTCTAAAACATGTCTTAAAGTTGTTTTAGTTCCAGTGTTTGACATTCATATGAAGAGGCATTGAAAGCAGTTTACCACTCAGTCGCATCTCTGATTTATATCAGAAAGGAAGTATAAGGTTACTCTTGAGCACCCCTATGTTTTATTCAGTAGGCACTGTCTTGCCTGTTGTTATGCTGAGGTTTGAGCCTAGACATAGGAATTATCAGCTATGCTGGAACAGCTTAAATTCTTTCTTGTCATTTGGTGACCGTCAGTTCCGCAGACTCAGGCGGTGCCTTGCACCACCGTCTTGGACTCACCCTAGGCTGAAAATCTTGTGACACAGATGGCCTTGATCCTCTATTGACTGAGAGCGGAAATCAGACACTTTAATTTTTCATACATTAGTTTTCAGGGATATATTATTTCCTAGGCCTTAACAGCACAGAATGAAATAATTAACTCTGCACTTAATTACAATCCCTAAAACTTTCTACAATATTGCATTATGTGACAATTGTGGCTGAAGTTTGCTTTGTTGTTGTTGTTGTTTTCATTTTTTTTTAAATGGAGGTTAAAGGTAGAGGGCAGTAAGTGAGCTTCTCTCTTCTGCTTATATTGCTCTTGGTGCAAGACCGTCTAATTATTCTCGGCTCCCACGTCAGAGCTCTAGGCTGTCTTCTGGCACAGATGTGAGGCTGTTTCTGATGCTAGGATGTGTTTTAAAGATGCCTTAACTATGCCAGTAGTAACAACTCTGTAGGGATGGTTTGTCACTTGACAAGTGGTTACCAGAAGCTGTAGTGCTTTCTCACCTTAAGTCTCTCCTATGATGGTGTGAGCGTTTGTCTGGGGGATGGTCCAGGATCTAAGGCAATGCTTATACAGGTGTATCTTACCTGAATGTCTGTCTCGTTTCCAGCTACACAAGAAAGTGGAACACAGTTGACACAAAATGAGAGTTCAGATGCTTCATCTACTGAGGGATCTTCTTTTTCTTCTACGACCTCTCTTCACAATACCACTTCTGCTCCTGGAACCTCAAGTAAGTCTTGAAAACATATACTCTATTTTCCTATACAAACAGTATCATTTTGAATCTCTTCTTCGCTTGTGCGTTGTCCTGGAATGAGGGCCACTTCCTTTTTCATGCAGGGTACGCTGTGTCCATGTCATCTAGCTATGAAGTTATGATGAGTGATGGGTGAACTTCAAAACATTCAATTGGGATACTGAATGTCATTACAGGAAGATATAAATTACGAAAGATAATAGCAATCTTTATATATGCTGTATGTGGTCGTTGTGTAGCATTGACTGCCAGAGGAGGTCATTGAGATAAATTTTTCTGGCTGCAAAGCAAAGGAGACAAAGGAGAAAACAGCTATAATTTTTACAATTGTTAATAAATCTGGAGGGCAAGTTAATGCGTATTACCAATTAAATGACATTGTTCAAAGTACAACACGGTCACATGCAGGGTCAAAAAGATATGAATCCTTCCCAACTCCAGTCTAGTTTTATTGTTTATCTGGGTGTGTTTTGGTGTATTTATCCACAAAGCACCACGGTGGTGAACATAGATGCCACGTCATATGAGTGATCTTTATGATGCTTCTAGCTGGCTTAACTTTACTAGATTTTGAAGAAACACTTATTCAGGTTTTCTTAAGGTCCCTGGAGACTTCCCTTCACTCAGTAATTATGTTCAGCTACATGTGTGTAAATCCAATAAGGACACTGACTCCGTTTGCGTATCCCAATTATTGTTAATGTTTAACATTCCCCAAGGAATACAAGACTCTTTTTACAACCTCTGGATTGTGTTTGTGGGAGATACGCATGCGGATGTACTGTGATTTTTCGTCATAGAGTATACGACTGGATATAAAAACGGAGTAATATCATATGCTTAGTACGCACTGAAATGCTTAGAAGCATGCAAAAAGATATTATAATAATAAGCATTTTAAGGAAGTTGGGATTTTTTCGTTTTTAATTCAAGGCACTGGTTTAGAGAGAATTCTTTGCAATTACTTCAATAAGCCTATGCCCCATAATGCATATACTGTGAGCTGTAGTTACTTGATTATCCTTTTAGGTTTTGTGACTTTTGGCAAACATGTGCATAGTATGGAAACCTTACCATTGGTACACTGCAATAAAGCAGTAAATTACAATGTTTTTAATTAAAAGTTCTCTCACACAGGTAAATTCTCCAGGTTAAAATGAAATTGCAATACATATCTGGCAATGGATCACATGTATTGAATTACCTGTTATATTGTTTGTACAATTACGTTTTACATTTAAAATTTGCCCAGAAAGTTTTACAACCTTCCTTGGGTCTGTTTGTGAAAGTCATCATCTTACTGAGCTCACTTTGCTGTAAAACCAGTAAATCTTCTTGAGCTTGGGGACTACCCAAGATGCTGGGACTATGATTGCCTGGCTGAGAAAGAAAGGGCCCATCTATCCAGGAGGAGTCAGTCTAGGTGCTTGGCATAGCCAATGCTCTGACTTCCCATAAAACTGCTATTTCAAAATTACTTCCTCCTGCACCAGGATTTCCACGCTTACGCCTTTCCTGTCTCCTTACAGCACCAGCTCCTCGCTTCATTCTTGTAGCTTAAATATGCAAGAAATCCCATTACTCACCCTAGTTAGGTAGCTTATCCCAAATGAGTGCACCTTTAGACCACCCTTGCTCCCTTATTCTTTGTATACATTAAAGACTTTGAGAAAAATAGTTTGGTTCTCTCTAAACAGATTTCTTCTCCTATGCGCAATTGCTCAGGGCCAAGGGAGGCCATATGCTGCACCCTAATAACTTTTAGAGCAATGCAAGTGTGAAGCCAGTTGGTTCATTCTGTGCTGAGACTAGAAGAAATGCTGACTCTGTCCCTGCCATTAGATTATTTCTTTCCAGCTCTTTGAAATTTCACATTCAGGGGCTTCTGTAGGGACTGGATACCTTTTGTTCACCAGAGCAAAGGCTGGTATGTGCAGTGGGGCTGGTGCTGCGAACTTGCAAGCCAAAGGCACCCAAGCCACAGCTTCTGCGTGGGAGCTGAGGGGAAGACAATTTCATGTTAAACTGATCCAAACCAGAACATTTCTATTTGGTATGCTCAACCAAAATAATTCAGCTGGCTAACCTCAATGCAAAAGAATATATTTAGTTTTAAGACCATTTTCCATTTTTAAAAAAATGCCATTTTGGTGAAAATTTCCTTTCTTGCTGCAGAAAAAGAAAAAACCCCACATTTTGAAGAGAAATTTCCAGTCAGCCGTATCAAAAGATCAGGGTGTGGGAGGAGTGCCACAGAGAGCTGGAGAGTGACTGAAATGAGTGGGGGAGCCTTGGAAAGAACTTGGAGAAACATCAGAGAACAGTGTTGCTGTATTAAAGAAGATTGAAACCACCAGCCATGGAGGAGGGGCTGCGTAGTGCTCATCCAGGCTAGAGAAGGCAACAGGGACTGTTTTTAGCAAAGAGAGCAACCTGCATGCGTGCCATTGACATATACACTTCTTTAACTTTGGCTGTCATGTATAACATAGCTCCTACTCATTCTCCACCTCCACAGAGGATTGCTTGCTAATATTTAATTTTCTCCTTTTGTTTAATTAACGAAAAATTGGAGATTTAATGGATCAGTCAGAGTCTAAGTACATCTGAGAAACTGCAAGTATTGTAGCTTTTTATTCTGTGACCTAAACAACAAAAAAATCCATAAAGCAGTATGAGCTTAAGTTCACCCAGCAGGGTGGTAAGATCAAATGATCTATTATAATAAACTGTCAGATGAATCAACCTGCTGCATCTATTGATATCTATATTGCACTCCTCCAATTATAAATCCTACTCACTTGATTCACAGGAGGCATCTCCCCAAGAAAAATTCTTATGAGTAAGACAAGGAGGGTTTGACTCTTACTGTACGCAAACTGTGTAGGAACTCTGGATAGTGATATTAGGTAAAAATTACCCACCATATCTTCAGCTTCTTCATAGAGAGAGAGACACAAAAATCAAAGTGCCTGGGAGATAGAAAATATAGCAAAGCCTCAGTTAACACAGTTACAGATCTATAGCATGGTCAGGGCAAGGAAGGTTTTTTAAAGTTCTTAATTTCACTTTGATTTATATTGTGGTATCCCCTCTGAGTAATCAGCCAAATTTATTCGTTTGTTTTGCCAGTGAACATAGTTTCATGTGGCTTCCCTCCAAAAACAGAAGCAGCAAACTGCAGGGTATCCAGGCTGCTTAGGTAGCCGTTGTTGGAGAACAGAGTGGGGAGAGGTTAGTTACTGGTCTCTTTCTCCATCTGTCAAGCTTCTAGCCAGCGCTGAACTGTCTCAGGCAGGTATTTTCAAATCAAACTACCATCATGTGCCAAATTTTTTATCCTTGTCTTCCTTAATGCACAACGAGGACTCAGCACAGCCAGTGTTGCACACCTCACTTTTCATGATGAATCTGGAAATCTTCCCAGATTATTTATGCAGAGCATCTGCCCCCTAACTCGCAGCCCCAAAGGATGTGGTAAGCTCTGAACAGGCAGCTAGAACAACTATGGTAACTGTGTTAGCAAGCGAAATGCTGCCTTTCCTTCTGTCCTTCTCTTTCTGTAGAACAGCAGCGTGTGACCCCACCACCAAAAAGGGCATTGGATGGTTATTTAGAAAATT